GCTTCCAGCGCCCACGGAACAGAAGATCAAATCCACCGCCTTCAAAGTGTGGATCTTTGGTAAAACGAAATCGGAAATCAGTGATGCGATGAAACTCCTTGCTAAGGTACGTGTCCTCACCACATGGGTTTGTTAGGTGTCTGTAGATTTTCACCAGACATGAAGGTGCATTCATCGAGGAGATAAGGGATAAAATGGATGAAGCCATTCACATTCTCCTGGCTGCCATTAACTCTGCTTCGCCGTAAGTAAACATCTGTGTATCTAAATGTATAATTCTCGTTTTTACATGGACCTCGTATTAGCAAGTGGCTCGCACACCTTCATTTTGATAACAGACTGAATGCCTAGTTACGCAAATGAGCTGTCTAAAACTTATTACAGCATTGGACCTCTAATATAGACAAAAGGAATCTCAAAGCCACATTCCCTACTGCCAGGTGCCCCTATCTCGTGCTTTGCGAATAGACTGTGCGAACCGTTCTGGAGACATCAGCTTTATATACATAAGAATGTAGAGATTGCGCGAATAGATGATTCCTCATCCACTCCCTCTCTGGCTAAATGCAATTCTTGATGAACTGTGGATGGGCTTTGCAATTAGAATGAAGTGGTAATTAGGAATGGCTGCTAAATAGTACACCAAGCCTCTTATTACATGACGTTAGCTGCCAAGCATCGTTCAGCCTTAGGTGGTGTTAAAGCCAGTTCATTAACTCAATGCAATGTGCTGTGGAAATGCAACCATCTATGCAATGAAATTTATGAGGAACTAGCTTTGAGATACACTACCTTTGTTGAAATCAAAAGTCCTCCTGCTTCTAGGCAAAGTTAATGACTACCGTCTTTGTATCGTGGCTGTCTTTTAATGCACAGATGGCAGTATGACAGTCATTGAAGAAGGATTTCAAAGAAAGCACTGCAGATGCCTCTTCACTCAAATATTAAACTTCTCAAATTCTTCCTTTACCTCACTTTGTGCTACTGCCCAACCTATTACTCCTTTGACTCTGCCCATTATCCCTCCTGCCCTGCTGTATGTCAGTTGTACGTTGTCCTTTACATAAATTGACCTTAACGAACACTCCAAGGACCCCGAGAGCTGCACGCAGCGTGTTCCAAGATAAAGGATTACATTCAGGAGTGCAAGACGAGGATATAACAGTACGAAAAGTAATTTTGGGAAGACGAAGGAAATGTTGTGGACAGACTTTGGTGACTGGAAAGTAGTGCGTCTATCAAATCAAAGCATGGAAATTAGTGTGTGTGTGTAGAAATAATACGTAGTAACACAGGCGTCACACCAATTCAATTAATGTCATCTTTGGCCTAAAATAAAATTATTTTCAACCTCACATGTCTTTTTAGTAAAATGAACAGTAGGAGCATTATTCGTGGTTCAAATGAGTCCACACATGAAACCATTGCGAATGCATCAGCATAAACAAGGCATAAAATTGACACTACTTTTGGGC